ATATGTATTCGTTTAGTGGGTGTGTCTGCGAATGTATTGAAAAAGCTTGCGATTGTTCTAGTCATGAATATTTTTTTACGTTATTGCAATCGCCTATAATATAAAGCTGCTGAAGCATTGAACACCTACTCATATGTATGTAAGCCATAATAAACTGGAAAGAGTACCGAAAAAATGGTGGAAATTCTGTTGATTGGAAAAATTATGGGATTAGTCAGCGACGTCAAACTGGCCTTGCAGCGCTGATCCTTTTAATATGTTATGATTGCTGCCCGTTTTTTATTATTCGAAAACACATATATTTGTGTATTTAATATACCCAAGTGTTTGCGTTTTTTGCCTTGTTTGAAAAATAAATTTATAATGCAGCATCGAGCACTTTAATTTAAAAAATCAACTGACTTTGGGTATTTAAATATTACTGATTTTAATTAGCCGCAAAGTTTATAATCAATATACATATGTGTATTTTTTAGTTATGTGTGCGTGTGTATGTGTGTGTGTATGATATTTGTTTTATTTTACACTGTTATATGTAATTAATGTGCATAAAGTATTTAATAAAGTAATACATATAATTAGAATTTTTGAGGTTGATATTAAAATATTTACAATGTTAAGCGGTGAAATCCGCGAAAAATTAGTTATTAAAACAATGAATAATATCAGGCAATTTTTTGATCAGTTTGTGTAGTGGTAATATAATCAGTTTTTCTATTAAAATTTTTTCATGCTGCAAGCTATTAGTAACAAAAAAACTAATTAAAAAATTTAATTGTGTTGAAATTGTATTATTACGCTTTGTTGGCGCATTAATTGAATGAATAGTAGTGCGCGCTATTTCCTTTCAATTCATTTCATTTAGTCCTATTTTTTAACTTTACTTCATTTGGTTTTTAAAATAATTTATATATAATTTTCTTTTAATTACTTTAATTTTATTTTATTTTATTTTATTTTAATTAATTTTATTTTATTTTATTTTATTTTATTTTATTTTATTTTATTTTATTTTATTTTATTTTATTTTATTTTATTTTATTTTATTTTATTTTATTTTATTATTATATTTGTATTATTTTTTCCCAATATTTTATTACTTTACTTTTAAAATGTGAACATCTAGAGGTTTATTCGATTTTCCTAAAGTTCACCGCACTTTTGAGAGTTTTTAATGCAAATAGAATTTATTGCATAACCACTTCCAAAATTAAAATAGCCCAAGGGTCTATCAGTGTACGCATAAACACCTGCCTATAAAGCTAACCGATTTCGGCTCAATTTTATAAATACATACATATTTTACAGACGTATACTCGAAAAGAATGCATATATTTGAATTTTAATCTCTCAGAAATCTCACTGACAGATACACACATTTGTGCATAGCTACCAAAAATGCTGTAGGCCTGCAATAACACTGTGAGTTTTGATCTCACCCTTTTTAGATGTGCAAATTTAATAAAGTTTATTATCAGCAAAATAACTCCATTTTATTATATACACGTACTTCTACAAAAATGATGAAATAGTATATTTATAAGTACTTGGTACAGTTCCATATGTCATACATACATACACACTCACAAACCGTGTATGTATGTTATGTATATCCCTAATAAGCATTAAATTGACAAATTCGAATTGACAACTGTGATTAAGAATGCTGTTGGTCGCATGTCAAATCAAAGTTTTATTAGCGCAATTTATATTCGGCTGCAGCTCACACTCGTCTATACATACATAAGTAAGTATATACGAGTATGTATATACGCAGAGCCACCACTATTTCGATTTTGTTGGTGTGCAAATATTGACATCTGTATGTATGCTTGATATGGCTTTGATGTAATCAAAGGTTGTCAAGGTGTTAACGGTATTTATACCCATGCATACATATGTATATGTGTATGTAGGCTGCATTACTGAAAGATAATTAGTGTTTTTTTCCAGCAAATGTCATGTTGAATTAGTGATAAATATTTTTTAAAGAACTTTTAATCAATGGAGCAAGTACGGATATTTTAAAAGGATAGTAAAATGACTTTTTGAGAGGAAAACAAGTGTTTAAAATTTTGTTGCATACCTCAAGGAGCCATTTATTTCCCTTTATGAATACATATTCTCTGATATATTACTGTGGTTCGTTGAGGCGTCTACAAAATGTATGATATTTTGTGATATTGACTTCCCCGAAACAATTTTTTATTTATCTTAAAATTGTGAAAATTTCATTGAAAGCAAAATATTATTATATTTACTTACATATGTACATATGTATGTATATAATTTCGTTAGTTACTTCTGAACTGTGTTGCAGCGGTAAAAATACAGTAATTTTCCAATATTCAAAATGCAAAAACGAAAATAGTAAAATATGAAAAATCAAACAAATTGATAACGTGAATAAACTATCAACAAAAGTAACCGTAAAAATAACAACAACAATATTTATTTTCTATTTTCCAATTAAAAGTTAGCAAAATACATTGCGCGCAACACTTTTGTTGATTTAAAATTATTTTCTTTATTGTAATGTGCAACTACATACATAAATATGTATGTACATCCAGCAGCAGGTGGCAAAGGTATAGCTGAAATAGCTGAGACTGTAACGTATCAGGCGGCAAACAAAGCCCAAACATTTAATTCAACAAACCGTAACAAACAACAAAAACAATAACAAATATAAGAAAATAAATAACTTGACTGCAACTACTGCTGATGATGTGCAAACGGTCAACTACCAACCAGCAACGAGAACTGACTGAGCGAAATGAAGCTCCACCCACACACAGCCGCCGTCTTGGCGGCAGGTTAAGGGGAAGTAAATGACTCGCGCCAATCACCGTAGGCATTGCTAAGGCACTTTTGCTGTTGTATATAGCCATATTTGTGTTTGCATGTGTGTGTGTATTAATTTATTGCTTACAATTAACCCTTAAGTTATTTACACAGTTCTGTTTAACTGCATATATATTTATTTAAACATATAAATCAAATTATTAAAATTATTTATTTTTGTACCGTAAACAAGACATAGCAGTTGGAGGGAGCAGGAAAAGTTAATCCATATTTCAACAGTTACAAATTAATTGAATGAGCAAACTTATGTATGTATGCACAGCGAGAGCTGAAAGGGCCTAGTCAAATGCGAGGTAATGGGGCATAAAGGCTAACCCCTTGAAATCCTTCACTGCTACTGCTCACTTCTGATTTTCATTTGCCATTTTCTTTAACGGTTCCCTTACTGCTTGCTTGTTTTGCTTTTCCTTTTCTTTTTCTTTCCTGCACTCATACTTGTTTTTCTTGCCTCCCCCTACCTCGGTTGGCCTCTTTGGCAGCACTTTTGTCTTAATTAAAAGACCAATTTGCAACTTCTGCTCGAACGCTTCCAGAAAACTTTCTCCTGCGCGGACGGGCGTATTAAGATAAAGTTTTGCGTTGAACATAGCAACTCACTGTAAGAGAGAGTGTATACAGCGGCACAGCAAGGACCCCATTTCAGAAGTATAAAAAGAAAAAAGGCGCATAAAAAATAAGGCACCACTCGTAAAAGCCAATATAAGAAAAATTAATTACAATTATAATAAACCGTCTAATTAAGCGGGAAGCAAATGAAAATGCGCGAAAAGAAGCACCAAAGAAGAGAAACTGTAATTTAAATATTACAAAGGCATTGTATGTGGCAGGGGAGGCAACTTGGGGGCGAGGGTGGAAGCGCTTGTTGGAAACCAAGTTGGTTCAGGCACTTTTAAGAGTGGGCGCTGGGCGTCGAGGGCGAGGACTAGTGTCAGATAAAGCTTTGAAGCGCACAAGCAGGAAATGTGCACTCTTCCTGCTCATACCAAATAATAAGTTGTATAAATTCAAGCGAGAGCAACAATTACAACAAAGATATCTAATATTATTCCATGAAAATATAGAAAAAATCATCTTACGAGTTTTTTATAAAACGTTCTGTGTTGTGCGTCAAGGATTCAAAGATAAGGCGACGTGGTTGGAAGCCAAAGTAGTGTTGGCAACTTAGCGAAAATGGAAATAAATAAATATAATAAACCGACAAGTGGAAATTCAAAGCGGAAGTACGAATAAATAAAATCTTTGTTGCTTTTTTTTATAAAAAACAATTGTTCTCTCTCGCTTAGTTTGTTCGCCATGAATAGAACGCGGCGTCACGCGGCATTTATACATAACCACAGACGCCACGTGAAACTTTTGCGTTGATTTTTTTGCGATCTTCTATTTTTTTTTTTGTTTTTTTACAGAGCCAAAAGTCGTCTTATGGAAATTTAATTTGAAAAACGGATGAAAGTGTTTTTGAAGCCATAGCGATTTTATTGGAGAGTGTGGAAGGAGAAAACTGCGTAAAATGTGTGCGTTGTATGTATGTGTTTAGGATTCGTCTTACTGCGAATATGTATATATATGTATGTGTTAGAAATATTTTAAGTTACAAGAGTTTATCGACCTGAAAAAGCAGTTAAATAAAGGGAAAAAATTTAATAATTTTATTAGCAGATTTTTGTGTTTGGATTTTATTAGTCAAGATAAATTTATTGAGTGATTTATAGACGACTCAATTAAGACTTGTATGGCGAAATCGTCCTAAGTGCCAATTAGTTACCCGTCTGAATACAGAGTTAAACGAAGGACGTTGCTAACTTCCATCCAATTCTTTAAAAGTAGTTAAATTTTACCTTTCCTCTTTATTTTATTTTGTTCTCTTTTGCGTTGCTATGTGAATATTTCTTTCGCTGCTGTGCTCTTTCAATAAAAGACATTCTTCAGCGCTTGAGAAGCCACACAAATGCAATATTTGCTTTGTTTACCGCTTGTTATGCGCTGGAGATTTCCGTAAGCAAATTAAAATATTAGAAAATAAATATTATTACATAAGTACCTGTGCGCAGAAAAGAACTTTCATCTAAATTTAAGAAAAAAAACTTCTTTAAAGATAAAAAACTGAATTTTTCAATTGTTTGTCGCTCTCGTTTCAGGTTTGGTTTAAAAATCGTCGCGCCAAATGGCGTAAACAGAAACGTGAAGAACAGGAACGGCTGCGTAAGTTGCAGGAGGAGCAGTGCGGGGGTGGCGCTGCTGCTGGCAACACAACGACGGTCGCCACAGGCATGGGCGCGGTCAACGGCAGCGGCGTTGTAATGGCCGCTGTGGCGAATCTTAAGTGCGCCGCCGAGGATTATGCCAGCCAGCTAAGTCATCACATCAAAACCGATCCAAATAGTTACAATAGCGATGCGGATGAGTCGTCCGACTTGGAGGTGGCATAAAATAGTGTACACCATTTATTTTTGTAAATATGTATGTATGTATTTTGTGCTTTTTCGCTGTTCACAATGTTGAATGGAAATTTGTGAATTGGGATTTTTTTATTTAAACCAAAAAGGGCGTTTGGAAAATTAATGCAATTTCAATAAAATTAATGCGTTTAACTAACTATACTCGCGCACACATCAATAATGTAAACAAATGGTTATAATTATACATATGTGGGTATAAGCATTAATTTTTTTATATAAGCACATTTTTATTGGCGTAGAATTTCGATAATTTTGTAAAAAAAAAGGATTTGACATATGTATGAATGTATGTCTCCAACGCTAATTATGCATTAAACTATTGTAAATAAACTAATTTATATGTTTGTGTGTATGTATTTGTTGTTATTTTCATTATAATGTGTCTGTTTGTTTGTTATAGCGCCTTAAATTATACTAATAAATTTTGTAATATATAAAATATGATTACAATGTTTGTGTGTGTTTGTTGTGATTTTTAATTTTCAGAGAAAACGAGTTCATTTAATTAATATAAAAAATTGAGTGTGCGTAATTATTATTTTTTTCTTTCTTCATAGTATTAATTAATGTGCAAACAATATATTGTATTAGCTAAAATATGCCTAGTAAATATAAATGGAATTAATAATAAAGAACACAATATTGTAAGCATTAATTTAAAATAGAAAACAAAAACTCAAAATAAAAAAAATTATTAATAATAAACTAAAAAATTTCACAACATTTTGCTACATTTAATATTTTTAGGAAGGGAAAGTAGCTCATACACAAAAAGATGAGAAAATAAAAATTGTTTTAACCCAAAAAAACTTCATAAGGGAAAAAATAAAATTATCAAATTATTGAATTAGATTTGCGATTCGATTTCTGAACTAGTGTTTAACCAGCGTAAAGCTGCTGATAAATAGAGAACTGACATCGCTTGCAGTCGCTTACATTGCAAAAAGTGGAAGATGAACTACAATAGTTGGTGTCAAATACAAACCAGTTCACCTTGGTGGGCAACTGCCAGGTAACTGTCCCATGTGATAGTCAGAAATAACGTCGCGACGGGCCCAGAGGGGTAACACCAAGTCATTTCATACCACCATGGGAATAATCTTTTACTGTCTTTTTTCATTTTTTCCATCGTTTTCAATATATCAGTCGTTTTATTTTTATTCGATTGGCTAACGATGAAGACCTTTCAAAACAAACAAGACAACAACATGGACCTGTCGATACCCCTTCAGGATACAGATAAGCGAAGTCCGTGCCTTCAAATTTGGTATGTTTGCTCAAAATAAATGCAGGAAATGCAGAGAATGTAAAAAGACAATGAATCACGTAATATGCGAGTGCCCAAGTTATCACACTTAGGGTGTATGAGCTGATGGATCTGCAATCGGCAATGCAATAAGGGTCAAAACGCCTACTTCAATTTGCTGCTGTGTTCTTCAAACTAGAGACGGCTCTGGTAGCACTATGAATGGAACTTCTAAAGGAGTCAACCCAATTAAAAGAGACCGTACGACGTACGAGCAGCAGGAATGAGGAGTAAGAAGTGCTGACTTTTTTACCTATTATGCAATTTCTTATTTAGACCTAACTGCATCGATGCTTCTACTTCAACAAACATTGTTAGCTACCACTTTTTCCTACGTTTGTATTGGTTGAAAATGGAAAACTTGAGTATTTCATTGTTTATTATGATGTATTGTCAAAAGAAAATACTATAATTGGAGATAACAATGGAAGCATGTAAATTCACGTAAGTATATGTATGGCATATTGTATATTATGTATGACCCTTTTACACTTACATTCATTATTTCACTACAACAAAGCCAATTCCATTCTTCTTTGTGTCAGAATTGTGAGTTGGTGAGCTTTCGTGGGGATTGGAAATTTTATTAAAAACTATTTATTTTGCATTTGATTTTCCCAGCAAATGATGACCAACAAACATCATTTGGTAAGTCTATATGATTTCTAGCAACAAAGAGATATGATTACATGGAACTTCTTAAATGGAAATGTCGATTTGTATAGTGTATCAAAGGCAGAAATGGACACGTATTTATACACATTTACAATGTTTAGTTGAAATGTTTTGCAAACAATCCCTTATACATACATAAACATACACACTGAAACGAAACATCAAAACCTACTCGAACTCACTGCTTGAAGTCTCACTAGGTGGAAACGTGCTAACTGACCGAGGACAAACCACTATTAATGTTTTTTTTTTAATTTATTTCCTTATATCGATTATTCTTTCAATTTGTGATTGTGTCAAAAATTGGATATTTATTTAAAAAAAAAAATATTTAAATAAGTTATTTAAGGGTTTTCAATGGAATATTTATTTTATTTGAACACTTAATAAACAAAGACAAATTATCATGGTTCAAAACTGAGATTATGTTTTTTTTGTTTGATAAAAACTAATCATTTCCATCACGAAGGACATCTCTGTGATGAAAATGACAATTGCTTGTATGGAAAATTCAGTACTCTTACAGTAGTCTTCAAGTAGTTTTTAACTAGTTCATTTCACTGCCGGGTAAAATCACGTAAGATTGTATTGCATTTGCTCTTTGAAAAGAAATTTCAACGAAAGAGCACATCAAATTTATACATACAATAATTTACATACACATACATATATATCTTCAAAAGCAGTGTCGTTTAAATCGATATAAATACATACATTCAAAAAGGAAACCGTAAAGTCCGTTGACGTTGATACAAGGAAATATGCTTGATCAAAAAGTATCAATAACAACTTAAATGATGTACTCCTATGGATTGCAAAAATCATTTAAGAATGAAAAACTATTTATATATATAAAAATGTTTGTTTGTATGTTTGTTCCTGTGGTTCTTGGAAAGATTTGTATTAAACAAATTTTTTTGGAAAGTGGACATGTTAAAAATATTGTATTTTTAGAAATTTTTACTTTTATTTATTTGAAAAATTTTATATACTCGTATATGTAAATTTTAGGACGATATGCCCAAACGGAATATATTTGCGGGTTACGAGTCCTTCTTGTATTTTTAACGTGAATTTGAATAAGCATAGATCCGAACGGTGCACTTGGCTTACTTCGAGGCAGGAACAGATGGTAATCCCAACCAGGGCTTCAGGCGAACGGCTATCGATGTGTGTGGTCTGACGTTTCCTGATGAATCACGATTCCCCTCCTCTTATCCAAAGCTGAGCGCTTTTGGGCATTGCTACCTTCATGGGAACGAATTAAGAGTTTGGCATAAGGGAGTAGTTCATAGTGGATAATTCCTTGTCAATCCCAACAAAAGTGCAACAAAACTTTACTTACCATTAATCCTTGCTTCGAGACCGTTTGTACTGGCTCACCAGCCAACCTTTCGTTCCATGAGGGTTTTTCTCGTTAATTCAAGTGACACCCATGCTTCTTTTTATATCCAGCATTTTTCAAGTGATTCCACACAGGGCAATCGAAGCAGTGCTCGCATGACTATCAGACTCGGCGTTTTCCATTATTTTATCAACATTTTTCGACAAAAGGCCTTCCACGCCGTGGAGCATCTTTTACATCAAAATTCCCGGAACGAGATAGACAAAACGAAAACCAAAAACCTGGCTTGCGTTTTTGACTTTATCGAAGAAAAATTGTGGAATATAACGTATATAACGCCATCTGGCGCACTTTTATAACGAGAGATACTGTTCACTAAAACCATTTATTAGCCAATGGATCCTTCGTGATGATCATCAAACTTGCTTTTCACAACAATTTCACCGTTGCCTGTTCACAAATAAATATAATTCAAATCAGAGCAATGGAGTCGGATAAGCAAACTTTTCTTAAAACCTTAAAACCCTACGTATATACATATATAAATATATATAAGGAAATAAACATTGTATATATAAGTGCCAAATTATCGACTTGAGGTCTGAATCCATTTTCGGAGATGCTCTGTGATTCTGCTAGTTCCTCCAAAAGCTTTACTTTAGAAAAGAGGTGTGCGCTTTGAGATAGGAAACTAAGACTAAAGCTTCTGTTATTGTTATACTTGTTGTATGTCGAAATCATCCAATGGGTGTTGAAGAAAATGAAATGGAAATGGTTGATGATTGCCTCAGCTTTCACACGAAAACGGAAATTCTCCTTTTGTCTTATCATAGTGTACAAGAGACTCTTCCTCCGCTACGTTGTTATAGTAGTATCGCAAGCTATTGTCTTGAAGCCCAAATGTGTCCTATCATTTCCCTGTTACTACACTGATATATAATTTGCGCTTTGTAATCGCTGAAGCGATTTTTGGGCGACCTCCTCCTTCAAGTTGTGGTTTTGCGTCTTGATGTTTTTTCCAACAAATGGAGGGACCCACAGTTTAAACTAAGCCGCCTCCGAACGGCTGATGTTTTTTTTTTACGAACAGCCTTTATTTCATATCCGATATACACTCGCAGGGCAGGACATTTTCTATCGAGGGGCGACCGCAATTACGAGATTTTTTAATTAAATTATTTTCCATAACTTTTGAATGTTGGTGGCACCGGGACTTGAACCCGAACTGAAAAAATGAAAAAATGCCTTCATCTTTTAGCGTCCACATTCCCCTAACATGTTGAACGTTTCAAGGGAAACTTTTCAGAATAATTTAAGTCGAACTCTAAAATGGACATTTAGCTTCTTTTCAGCGAAGAGTACGATTACGGTTAGTACGGAAATGTGTAGACATAAAACAAGATAAAAATGTGAAGGCATTGCATTAATAAAAACGAATCCTTATACTGATGCGTACGCGTAAGCAGATCCTTTGTTTGGGCAAGTGAAGGAAATGGTAGTGGCACCAAGCCACAATCAAGAAAAGCAGCTGTCTTTGAGTAAACAAATGTATGTATGTATCTGTGTTCGCTCAGCTCCTTTTCTGCATCTTAATGCTGCGAAGTAATCGTAAGGCAGTGCGGATGACCAAAAACGCACCAATAATACGCATCTGCATGCCTGCCATTACTTTTCACAATTTTTTTCACTCTCTTTTTACCCTGAACATCTTCGTTTGCATTTGCATTTGTTTTCTTTTTTTTTTGGAATCAGTTCGGTAAGGTTGACATGGCTTCCTATCGAATTTCCATGATGTTTGCGTATCTATTTGACAATTTTTTCGTTGTTTGGGTTTTCGCTTCCGAA